AAAATATAAACAGCAAATTAAAAAAAAAAAAATTTGATTTCTTAAGTAGCTGGCTGTATATGATTATTAATGATAATGCAATTATTAATTAACGCATCGAAAGCTGGCCACAGGGTACTATACGGAGGCGTACGTGCGAGGTTACATTGTTTTACTTTTAATCTTACATAGCAACGAATAATAAAATTCATTTTCTTTTTGTCGTAGTTTTTATATCATACTCTTACGAACGAGTACATTGGTTTCAACATTTTTTTTTTTTTTGCATTAATCCATCATCTTATTAATTTTTCGGAAGAAAACTTTTTTTAAAAGAAACCAACGAACTTATAGAAAAAAATAAAGTGTTTTAGCGCTATTGTCATCTTAGCAAGACAATCCATACATATATTATTACAACAGAGTTAAAAATAATGTTAAAAGAAAGAAATTGTTTTAAAAGTCTTATAATCCACTGAATATGTAGCAAACGTGGGTCAGTCAGACGATATTGGATTATCGATTATCGAAATCAACTCGGTGTAATCCAAGACAACCCTAAAAATATATATATATCAAACACTTTCTAATCCAGAAGAGAATTACAAATTCCGCATGAAATAGTTAGAGGATAGTTTCAACATAAATCCCGGATAAGTACTTTAAAATCAAAGTCTTCATTCAATATGGTCGGCTTAGGATAAGCTGACAAATGGAAGCAATGAGCTGTCGAGAATTAATTGGAGTATGTGATGCGTATCTTCCACAGACCAAATACGATTCTTTATTCCTAAATAATTATTTTGTATCGTAAACTCCCGAGAAAGACCTAAATAGAAAGAAATTTGTAGAACTGGTACAATTCAAAAAAAAAATTGGTTAACAAGTTTAAAAATATAAGAAGAGGCCTGGAGTGGTTACTGTTTGTTTGTTTCGTCGAAGCCCATCTCTCAATATCAATAACTCTATTTCCAAGTAAAGTATGAATATGTAATGCCGAAAAAAGAAAAAAAAGGGTATGAGGCATTGAAACAACTTCTTTAATTCCCAAATATTCTGGTAAGACGACGAACGGTTTACTGCTTGGTAGCTTTAGCACAGGATCAATCGATACGATCATACGAACACAATTAGCAAAGAAGATCAACCCCTACAATTATATAGATTCACATTTGTACAATTAGATATTTTTGTATAAAGTTTCTGAGGTGTATATACAAAGCCTATTGGGTTCTTCCAATTTTGCTGGGGACTTTTTTTCTTTGTTTCACACGCAAGAAACAAAATAATAATAATAATAAGAAATAAATCTAACACTAACACACATAGCTCATCTAATGATTCTTGGCCCTTGAATAACTTTAAATGGAATTCATAGTCGCTGGACCAAAGTACATAAGCTTAATCCGTTGGAGGTCTTCCGTGACTTCTATCATTGTAGGTCTCATGTTTCTGTGAAAAGATAAGCAGCGAAAAGCTAGTTCCGCAACATTTTGAACAGAAGCAAACATTTCGGGGTCGTTGTCAGCTTTTAAGCAAGGATCAATGATATCTACGACAAGCCCTCTTCCGATCCTGTCAAGGGCAAGAGAGGCAAGGTTCACTTCAGTGTAAGAACGAGTGAAGTCTATGACTTTAAACCCTGAAATGATTTCAATGAGAACAACTCCAAAGCTGTAGACGTCGCTCTTGTCTGAGAGCTGGAAATCTTGGTGGTACTGAGGGTCTAAATATCCTGGAGTGCCTTGTGGAGCCGTGGAGATATGAGATGCGTCGAAATCGGTGGACATGCCGAGCCTTGAGAGTCCGAAATCGGAGATTTTGGAGTTGAATTCGTAGTCGAGGAGTATGTTGCTTGATTTGATGTCTCGGTGGTAGATTGGCGGGTTCATTGAAGAGTGAAGATGTGCGATTGCGTTTGCGGTCTGAGACGCGATGGCGAGACGTAACGGCCAAGAAAGCGGTGTGTGGCCTCTCTCGTGTTGTAGATGCTGAGATAGCGTTCCGTTGGGCATAAACTCGTAGACTAGAAACGGTTCTCCTTGCGAGATACAACAGCCTAAAAGACGAACGAGGTTAGGATGGCTCACGGTGGAAAGAAGCTTAATCTCGTTGGCGACTTGGTCGATGCTTTTGCTGTCTTTGCGTCTAAGACGTTTTATAGCGACCCATGACATGTTTTGGAATTCGCCGGCGTAGACTGTTCCGTATGCTCCAGTTCCGAGCTTGTTCTTCTCGGAGAAATTGTCGGTGGCTTTCTCGATCTCTTTGTAGGTGTAGAAGGGAACGCTGGAGTTTCCATCTAGCTCGCTGAGCAAGCGATTCGCCATTGATGTTTTTGAGGAAGACGCTGAACGCTTGTGATGGTTTATATATGCAACTACTAAGATCGCAATTAGTGAGACTACTCCAATCAAAACACCACCTGGTATAACCAAACAGAAACATTTGAAATAATTATCAATATCACTATTATTATGTAACATGTATACTGTATAGTTTTTTTTTTTTCGTGAAAGAAGGACATAAAATATATAGTTCACGGAACGGAAATAAGAGAATAAAGTTTACTTACCAGTAGCAAGAACGATGAGTTTGTGTACTCCTTTACGTTTACCAACTGAAAAAATAAGAATAATCAAGATCGAATATAATTTTTTTTTGTTTTTCTCAATCGAAGCAAAATAAGTAATCATTGACACTATCTATATTTAGATATTTTCTTAACGGAATATTTGAAAAGTCTAGCTCAAAAGCCACTTGTCTTTGTATAATTGGTTCTTCAGTTTGTCGGTCAAAAAATGTTAGTAGGAAAAAGTCAATTCCGAACCTAATCGGCAACCACCGTGCACGGTGAAGGCGTTGCCGCGAAAACCTTGGAGACAAGTGCAGCGATGACCGAAACCACCGTTGGGGAGCTTGACATTCGTACAGGTTGCGTTGTCGGAGCAAGTCGTGTTATTATTGTCGCAACGCTCTTTAAGCCACCAATCGAGCCTGAGTCGACCCAAGTTCATGGAGCCGCCTTGCGATTTCGAATTGGTAGACTGAGGCGTAATCGAAGAGAACCAATACTTGCATCCGCTTGAGTTGACGACGTCTCCGATACTCATCACATCGGCCATCGTCGTAGCTCCGTGGAGACAGCTCACCGGAGACTTGCATCGACTGATATTTAACCGATCTTCGACGAATCTAGTCCTAATTAAACAATCAGACGACTGTTCTTTGCATCCCTGGACCAGAATTATGTTGCGTGAATTCGACGGTGCGAGATTCTCCAGGAAGAGCTGCTCGATTTTGAGGATGTCGCGTTTGCAGATAGGCGGGATTTTCACGTAGATGTTTGCGTTCGTCACTTCCTCTACCACGAATTCGCCGATCTCCGCGTCGCCGGTTTTCTTTGAGCAATTGAACCGGATTGGATAACCGTCGGAGAAACCGAACGGGTAACGGAGCGAACTGGTTTGGCAGTTAACCGAGCCGGTGGTCGGTGTAGCGACGGTTAGAGTGAAGACGACGATGAGGAGATACCAAGTGTTTGGTTGGCGATTTTCTTCCATCACCGAAATAATAAAAAGGAAAGACAAATAATGATTAATCGAATGATTGTCCTCCCGTCTTATATATCAGTGGCAGATACTGTAAATTAAAGCTTTTCATGTCCATGGATTCATGGAATGATTGATTATGTAGTTTATGTTTTGACTGTTTCGTTCCCCGCGGGTTGAGTTGACCTTTCGTGGATAAGGCTTAATCTTGTCCTTTGATTTTGATAATAGTCAATGTTTGCTAATGGTCAACATCCGGAATATCAACATTTAACTTCAACCAAACCGAAAATTAAAAAATTGCCAAAAACCTTAATTTTGGGGAAAAAATGAAAAACATCTGTATATGATCCAGTATAAAACAAATACCATACCTAACCAATTTATTCCAGTTTTCGTTTGCAATCGATCCAACTTTCCAAAACAAGAAAAATGCAAAGAATCAACCCAAATTGTGTCAACAATTCAAACCATTGATCATTGAATTTTTTTGTTTTTCTTTCTTTTATATGAGATCCTTGCATTTCGAATATCAACTCTGCTTATTCGCGCATATAAGCTCATATGATATGATTACAACCATTATTTTTATTATTACATAACTATAAGAGATTATAATTGATACAGATGTGTGGACATTACTAAAAAAGTCAATGCAGCTAATAATTCTATAATGGATTAAATCATACCAGATCATTAAACAAAACAAATGTATAGAACACTATATATAGCATAAGCTAAAGCCCTACAACTTTAACTTGAGCGGCGAGATTAGAACATGAAATTTCATTCGAAAACCTGTAATCCCGACTTTTGCAAGTAACTCTGAAAATTGTGGACTTTGTTAATGAATTTTTCTTTGTAGCAGACTCAAACGAGCACAAAAACTATATGGATCCCAGTAACTAGAGTTCTATTCATTTATATTTAAAATATGAAAGTTTCGGACAAAATACCGACATTAGTTTGATGACATCGCTCTTAAATGTGAAGCCACAGAACTACCGGGCTAAAATTCAATGCTCACATTATCTAAGATTTGTTATCCGAAGGTCCATCAGGAATTTTGTTTCAATCAATAAACAAACACAGTCAAGGGAAAAAAAAAAAACCACCAAACTATAAAAACAAGTCAACGAGTATTACATAAGCGATAAGGATAACAACCCAAAAAAAAAAATGGAGCAGCGAAAGTTACTAAACTCCATTAAAAAAAAACTTTAGCCAGAGTCTACAGAGCATAAGTCTGATTTATTAAAGCATTAAACAAAAAAGAAACAAGAAAGCTAAATCATTATTCTTCATCAGTGGGATTATGTTTGGTTCCTTGATTTCTCCTTCTCCTTCGCTTCACTTCCTTGAGTTTTATCGTAATCTTCAAAAACGAAAACACACGAACACACTTCCTTGAGTTTTATCCTAATTTTAATTGAAGAAGTGTACTTATAATAATAGTAATAATAAAGGATGTTTAATTGGTTTTACCAGGGTGATTCTCATTGATCTCCTTTTTATCCTTTTGGAAGGTTTGATTTCCTCCATAGGTTCCTCCAAACCCTTCTTCATCAGACCTCGTTGCGTACCCTTCTCCATACGAATGCGACATCACGTCACTGCCCCAATTAATTTAAAAAAGGAACAAAAAAAAAACATTAAAACAAAATACTTACGATTCAGAAACTATTATTATACATGTACATAGTGGACGAGACGAACCCGTTTTTGTCTTTTTGATTTTCAGGCTTTTTATCCATCTTTTGCTGGTCGGGAGCGGTGGCGAAACTAACTCCGGTAGCTTTGCGGCCAAATCGAGACGATGGTGAGAAGAAAGAGACGGTGGTTGAAGGAAGTGATCGGATTGTCTTAAACGCGTTGATCATTTCTTGACGCTTCAATTTATAGAGTGAGTAGTTTTTATTCTCTTATACAAGGAGACGATAAGTTAAAGCAAAAAAAAAAAAAGGAGCTTAATATTGGGGGATGATTGATCTGAGCGATACGACAAATGTATTAAGTACCGGATTTTGAATAAAGAAAGGTTAATGATGGTGGTGTTAACGAATTTAATCACGCCAGGAATAAGATTACTCTATCTACCGACATATGCATATAATAGTACGACGGTGTCTCCACTGAAGTTCGCCTCTTGGAGCTGTGGTGACAGGTGGCGCGACGAAGAGAGGAACCGACATGTTTCTCAGAAATACGACACGCGTTAAGTAATGCGACGAGTTCAGATTTCCATGACAAATCCTCTGCTTACGAATTTGGGCTAGGAAGAAAGTTAAAAGGCCCAAGTAAATTGGGCTGGGACAGCATTGAGAGAAGGGGTTTGGGGCCACGTGGCGTTAAAGGGAGACGGCGTGGAGATGATGTCATCATTGGCACACGCAACAAAGAGAAAAAACCAGTACAGCGAGGGAGACTGACACTGAATTTACTTAAATAGAAGTGTGAACTTTGACTGTATCATCTTCTTAACAAATACATCGAGGAAAAACAAAGGAATATATCTAACTGAACACAATCAAAGAAGATGAAGTAGATTTAGTAACAAGAAAATAACACTTTGATTATATATATATATATATATATATATATATATATATATATATCTTGGCATGTAATCACATATAGCTTCCTAAGTGTTACCACATTCATATACTTCTGATTGTAGATCTATCTTTTTTTTTTTTATCAATCTCAAAACTGGATTGCATATCTTTGTTCCATTTTTTTAAAGCAAATTTACAAACAGAATAATACTTACAACAAATATCTTAGGTTGTTCCGTTTCTAACCTTAGAAATAGTAGTAATACCATCTCAAACGAATGACCAGAACCAGCCAAAAGCAAACCGATTTTAAATTATCTAAAGCGACAATAGTAGCTGAGAGTGAAAAACATCAAGTCTAAGAACTGCTTAAAACCTACTTCACAAAACCAACAATGTTAAAAGGAAAAAAGAAGCAGCACAAAACCTACCCCTAAAGTAAATCGACGTTGAAACTAAACCAAAACACTAATCATCAAATCAAACCATGGGGTATATTAACATTTGCATATATATTCTGTTGTTGTCTAAACAAAAATAACAGTTGAAACAAAACAAAACTAAAAAATACCAAGGCTGGTTCGGTTCGTCATCGCCATGAAGAAACAGTGAGGAGAGGCAAATCGTTCCAGGCCAAGGAGATGAAACCTGGCATAGATTCAACAATTGTATACAAATCGCTGTAATTGTAATACCACAACAGTATCTTCGCTTGGCTCACTGCGTAATTGCTCAGCTTCACCGATTCAAAACCAGCACTCTCCATTAACACCCGCCATTGTTCCTTCTCCTCCATCCGTTCCCTCTGATTTCCGGTTTTCTCCGGTCCAATCAAACCCGAGATCCTCCGACCGAACAGTACTCGTTCCACTCTCACTCTCTCCTCCGAATCTCTCCCCAAATTCGGTTCGAGGGATTCGAAAACCGCAGAGTAGAATTTGAGCGCGTTTCTCATCCGGTTAGCGAAAGCCACCCGGTTTAGACTCACCTCGTACTCTCCGAGAGTCACGACTATCGGGTTTAACGATCTGGCGAGCCGTAGTGCGGTGTCAACGATCGTCGGCGTCTCGTCGAGTAGTTTGTAGAGCTGAAGCATGAAATTCACGGCCAGTACCTCATCCGGGTCGACCCGGAAAGTTGACCCGTTCAGTGAGTGGATTGGAGTGAGAATTGGGATGAAATCGAAATTCAGATCCAGAACCTTAGCGAAATCACGGAGGCGGTTTCCGGTGGCGATTAGTGACGGTTCCGGGGATTCACCGAGAGAAGGAGCCGGTATACCGGAGACCCGGACTTGGATGGGTTTACCAGAAGAACGTGTTGCGAGTGCTTGAAGAAGGGCAGGCCATTGAAGGCCTTGAACGATTCCAAAATCGACGATGTGAATCTTATTGGAATTCTCCGTAGCTTCCAGGATCGCCTGATTCGCCGTCAAATGAGCGAATTTGGAGTAGGGGCAAGCGTCGTTTAGGGTTTTGTAAGAGAGGATCATTTCCTCAACAGACGGCGATTCCTTGGGCACGGAATCAGGAGACAGTCTGTCGCAGAGAGCTTCCGTGAAGTAAAAACCCAGTCTCTCCGTCGGATCACCTAGCTCCGATACAGAGTCTCGGATCCGAACAAGCGCCTCGGCAGCGACGTCCGACTCAGATTCTAAGATCCGTGCACAGTCGTAGATAGCTCTCAGTAGAGGCGGTTCTTGGTCAAAGCCCGGCGAGCCACCGTCTTCGGAGTCGTTAGTCTCTGGACCTTTGAGTGTCTGATGAGGCGGAGATGAAGACGGAGGCGGGGGAATCGATAATGGAGAAGACGGAGCCCACAAGGTGGAAGAAACCGGCGGACGAGGAAGTGGACTCGACGTAGCGATGACTTGGTTGAGATCTGACGGTTGAGAACACGGGACACTGAGTCGACTCGGGTAAGCCGCCGCAAAAGGATCAGGACCGTAGATTACGAAATCGGGATTATTCTGCCATGTGCCACAATCAGGACCGTCAGCCGCCACCGGGTCTCCACCGCCAATCAGAGACTCCATCCACTCGTCGGATTCAAACTCACCGCCAGTTCCACCGTCGAAATCAGACAACCTAAACCCACCACCACCACCGGCGGCGGAGGTCGGATGGTGATGGTCTAAGGTGGGAAACGGAAACCCCGAGTCGCCGGGATCTCCGCCGCCAGAAACCTGAAACGGGTCAGGAAAAGCTGAGCCGGGAAGCACAAAACCGAGGGACTGGTGGGTCGTATTGGGCCAGGGATTAAGAGACAAAGGGTTAATCCCGAAAAGCTGATGATCTTGATGCTGCTGCTGTTGCTGCTCTTGTTGCTGCTTCTGTTTGATGACTTGTTGTGCTATCGCCATTAGATTGCCACTATCAGTGCACATGTAAGCCATTCTACGGCTAGATCTATCCGGCGTTTAAAGGCGGTCTAACACGACTGCCACCTGCGAATTCGCGTCACTGTAAGACGAAGAAGACGATGACGAAGAGAGAGAGAGAGTGAAACGGCGGGATCTCCAGCTGAATCGAGTTTTGGAGTTTAGTATTTTAGAGAGAGAAGAGCGGTAAGAAAGGTCAGCCCTAGAAAGTGGATCAACATCGATTAAATCTGACCGCCCGATTTCAGTGTGGATCCCACTTTCAATGTATCTTTCACTATGTAGTATTTTTTGCTTCCCTTTCTAAAATATATACGATATTTGTAACGGTAATAAAACCAATCTCTCTATAAACAAACACTCACGAGATGAGTCATGCCAACATCTTTTGTCACCAGAGATTATTTCCATATTAGTTTTGTAGATAAGAGTAACACTAAATATCGACCGCGATAATAAATTTTTGTTTCTATGTTTTAAACACAAAAATTTAATAAGAAATATAATACAGTATTTCGTATTTAAGCGGCAAACCAACGCAATTTTTGTTGTTGTCAAAGAAAGCGGCAAACGCTATTAAAATCTAAATTTTAAAGTTCAATCAAATGCTGTTAAATGTGTCGGTAACTAAGTGCTATTTCAGTGATACGAAAACCTAAAAGATATTAATTACAAAATTTCAATACTTAACAATCAAAGATCAAAAATTTAAGCTTCACTACCATGATTAATGACACTCGTTTTATATAAAAAAATGATTTTAATGATATCAAATTTGAATTCGAGCTCGATATATTAGGTTTGAGATGTATATGTTAATCTTAAGATATTATGCTATAACGTGAACATGAACCAGAATTGTATTTACTTACAAAATAATGTATTAAAGTTTACGGCGAAATTGTGAAAAATATTTTCAAGTTGAAGAACAACTATAGACGATATATGATATCCACCGAGGTTAATATAGCATGTTCATAATATATGTCTCCATTGAAATAAAACAACAATATGGGTTGGAAGTTTGGTTTTCTTCAAGATAAGACTTAAGACTTAAAATCTTATTTTTTTATAAAAATGTAAAGAATAAAGTTGTAAAACGTTTAAAATCTTGTTTTTTTATCAAAAATGTAAAGAATAAAGTTGTAAAACGTTGTTTTTTCTTTTGAATATAATTTAACATTTTATTCAAAAAAAAAAAACAACATAACTGATATCTTGATGTAAAAACAAAACAAATTGTTTGACCAAAAAAAAAAAACAAATTAACTGACTTCTCTTTAATTTATTCACGCGGCATTCTAGCGTCAAAACAAACTTAAAGGTCTTTAATAAAAAAACACCAAATATTGAGAAGAAAATTTGAAACAAGATTTTTGTTTGCTCTTTCAAGCATTAGAGTTTTTGGTGAGGCAACCTCAGTGTGGAGAGGATGACGCGGGACGACGTGACCTAATTGACAAATAGCCCTCTCTTTTCATTGTCAATCTCTTCTTCTCATAGAGCTTTTTCCTTCTTTTTGTTTTGTTTACTTACAACAATCTATGCTCTTCGGAATTTAGATTGCAATGATATATGTTACAGTTTCACGTAGACGTAGCATAACATATTTCAGTTTTGGATATTTAATTATCCTGCACCTGAATACTAATTATTTTAGTGCTAATCAATTTGTTAGCTCATTCTTCCTATACATTACAGTAAACAATATTTATATCGTTTGATCGGTGTCTAGCCACATATCTCTCTAAACGATGCATATTCTGTTTTTTTTTATTGAAAACAATGTTTAAGGATTTAACATATAGTATACGTCATCAATCTTTCAAAAAATACACAGAGTGTATGTTAAAAAATAAGTAGATTCAAATATATGTATTTAATTATTATTTCTTATAATTGAACTATAAATTGTGTTTGGTGAGCTGATCCTTAAAGTCGTATAGGAAAGGAGATTTTAAAAGAAGGGAAGAGAGTGATTAAAAGAGTCCTACCAAAAAAAAAAGAGAGTGATTAAAAGAGAGAAAGAAAAAAGAGGAAAATGTCTGTATAGGGTTCTATTTTGTGTGTGAAAGCGTCTCATCCCGCTCTTTTCGGGGGACCCAAAAGGTAGGGTCCACCTACTGTAGACGATGACGTCATCTAACTGTAGATCTTGACTCTTTTAAGATCTCTGCCGTTGATTTAAAATATAGCCGTATCTGATCAAACTGCTCTGACTGTCTGTGAGTCACCTGCATGTCCTCGGTAATAATTGAATATGGAAATATATAGGAACAGAAAAAAAAATATGATAGTTATTTGTCTGTATGTAAATATTGTAAGTTGATTAACATTAACATCATGATACAATAGGGACAACGTGACGCAACGAAAAAAATAAAAATTATTATAAAGCTAATTGAATGAGATGGTTCATGTTTCTCGTTAACGTATTGTCAATTGTTCATTCAAATCGTACATTGTTACGCGCCAGAAACTTGTGTATAAGTGTGAGTATGATTTGTATATATATATACACATTTTGAGGGTGACTGATGGGCCCATGGATCAGCAGCCCATGTAGTTCTAAAATGTGACACGGAAAAGGCATCGGTGGTGGGCCCCGTTAACTGTTGTTGGACCGATCCCGGACAAAAGAAGAAGGAAGCAATCGATAAAGCTTTATAATTTACCCCAACAATGCTAAAAAGACCAAACAAAACAAATACAAATAATATTAGAAAAGTTTACATATTTGTTCTACTCTTTATAGAGTAAAAAGATATAAGAAAATATCACTGACTGCTTTTCACGTTATGAATTTATTTTAGTTTTATTGATTTGATTTTGTAAAAATATTGTGTTAAAACTATTACAGAAATAAGTACGTAAGACTACGTATTTTAAGACTTTTGTTCATATACTTAAAAGGTTGAAATCCTCTGAATTAAGTACACTTTAATTTGTCTAAACTAATTTTTGGGAAAGTGGTAATACAAAAATAAAAGGCGTATTTGGAAGAAACGCACTGTTAGTCTCTCAGCTCTGTCGACTATCTCTCTTTTGGGTTGCACCGTAGTCTCCACGTCAAAATTAAAGGCCACTCACTTTGGTGACCCACTTCTTCCCACTCACTCGCCACAGTTTCCTAAATTTTCAAATCAACACAGTTATCTCTTTCATTTTCTTACTTAAAATATATAGTTTCTTAAGATTGTAGTGGTAGTCGTTGTTCTAGGAAAAAAACATAAAACATATTTTTTCGTTGGGATAAAGTAAACTATAGAAGGTCTGGAACTTAGGTTTAACCCTTCCGGCCCATTTGTCTATAATCTTTTTTGATATTTAGAACTAGCCCTTGATAATACGATGTTTTTTTTAGAACCTTTTCATTTGATAATATGATGTTTAAAACGTAAATCGCGCTAATTACAAATGGAGTTGCACATAGTTTTGGTAATTTTTCCAATACTTTAATTCATTTTTGCAAAACTGTAGTTATTACATTGATTAAGTCAAAATTTACTCCTGCACTTTTTTCCTTTACTTTTCATAACCCGTCAAAACAAATATTCAAAAGATTTTTAATTTAGATACGGACAAGAGAAAGAAAGGTGTGCGTAGAAACTCCACTTTATCGAAAAGGTTAGATGAAGATTAGGTGATTTAAGACGTTCCTCGGCTTCTCTTTCATACGTTGCATTCTAAGCATTTTTAAGTTTGAGTCTTGAATGAGTAATAATTTATGTGTTTTGAATTTGTTGAATGTGAAATGAATAGGCTAATGGATAAAGCTGGTTGGTGAAGTCGACTGGTTGATTTAATTTGTCGTGGAGCTTACTAATTTTGTCACATCCAGTGACATCGATTGGTTCTAATTAGAAATTTTGACCCTACAAACATATACACACACACGGATAAATATATAATACTTTAGGTTTTAGTATAATATATATAGCGATCTAATTATGATTAAAATACATAATCAGTCGAAACTGTTGTGGGTCTCGTTTCTAAGTTTCAAGGTTGTAATCATACACCATTTATGTATTTAATTTAGATTCACCGACCGTATTTGCAAATTGCATAAGTGGAAGGGCACCTTTTAGTAATCGAATAAGCAAGTGGACGACCCTAAGAGTGAGGCATTAGCAAGGACCCGTTTTCTGCGACCAACAACATTATCATCTAACGACCAAATCAAAAATTTAAATTCCCTCAAAATTCGCAAACAGTATATCTTCTCCTCTCTAATCTCTAGCCACCTAGTCGTGTAAAAATATTTCGGGGTATAAAATTTTGCTACCAACCCAACTCAAGATAGGTGAGACAATATAGATATTAAATACCGTAATCATTATAAATGAATCAGCCTCAAGCCTCAATATCGAGTTTCGACCGCGAAATAACATTTACCAATCAACAATTAAGAAATAATTAAGAAATTGCTATATCACCAAGAGGCGTAACAACAAATTAATATGTATAGTTTCAGGAAATGGTTAAAGTGAATAACCAAACAAATTAACAAGTTTTTTTCTCCTTCTTTTCGTCATTTTATTTCACCCTTTCTGAAAGGGTAAAAAAAAAAAGAAAATCCAAGAGGACGGACGATACTCCTTTCTCCTCCATCAACAGCTCACATAATAAATACCAAACTCTTTTGTCTTCTCTCCTAATTATTCCCTTTTTCTTTTCCTGATTATTATTACGATGACACTTAAAAAAAAAAAGAGTAAAGCATATGGCGGTCTCCTGTGTGTAGGGGACAATCAATAGACGCGAGCTTTGGGAGGGAAAGTCTCAATCTCATCGTCAAGAGTGTCCATGTGGACAGGCCTATAATCCAATCTCACTTTCTCATCTTCCCAATATCCCAATGTATGCTTCATCCACTCTCCATCCTCTCTTTTCTGCACAACATTTCATTACGTATTCTAATTAATGTTGGTTTCATCATTTATATCACTATGAGATGTTTAATGTGTGGAAAGCGCTGAGGAAGGAATCACAAACCGTGAAATCTTCCCGAGCATGTGCTCCTCTGCTTTCCTTTCGTGCTTCCGCTGAATGCATTGTTATGGCAGCGTTTATCAAAAGATTCTCCAGTTCTATTGTCTCTATCAAATCAGAGTTCCTGCACTCATCAAATTTGTAACAAGAATTTTACCACATTATTTTGCAACACTGAGAATTAACATGTAAGAAGTCCTTTTATTTTTTTTTTACCATATCAAACTCCTATCTTTAACCTGGACATCCTCGAAACTTTCCCAGGCCTTG